CCCTCATTGGGGGCTGAGCCCCCCCCTAAAATGAAAATCCTAGAATCGCCCGTTATCAAAGTTATCTGACATTATCAAGATGAATTTGTTCTGACATAGTTTAACTCTGAGTTCTTGTCATTTTCTAAACAATAGCAAATAAACTGATAATGTGAGAAATTTTGAAGGTGTCTGAATAAATTTTGGTTTGACTGTATATAGGACTTATCAAAAGTTTGGAAACACAATTTTTTAAATATTTTCAATGAAGTCTCCTATGCTCACCAAGGCTGCATTTATTTGATGAAAAATACAGTTAAAACAGTAATCTTGTGAAATATGATTACAATTTGAAATAACTATTTTCTATTTGATTATATTTTAAAATGTAATTTATTCCTGTGATGCAAAGCTGAATTTTCCACATCCATTATTCCAGTCTTCAGTGTCACATGCTTCTTCTGAAATCAAATATACTGTATTTATATTGACAAAAATATATTTAAAAAAATTAATTTTCCATTTATTTAAAATGTATTTTAGAATTGAAATCTTAAATATGAACTATCTTGGCTATGGCATCCAAGGCTGACTTCAGCCAGACTGTTACACTACGTAAGAGAAATACAGAATGGCCTTTAGGCTGCAGAAAAGGATGTGCTGACCTGAAAATGTCAACATCTTTCTCTCTGCAGTAAGCCAGATCTCTGCTCTGTCAGGACTGCACTTTCGACCACCATCTCAAAGTGAGGCTGTATTCAGCCACTAAGCTGCAACGGGATAAACTACTTTTAGCCTTGGTGTGAGGAGATTACAGCATTGTGCCATGTAGGGATAGACAACCAACAACATCCTTTAGAAATGAAGGATAAGGTCTGCATTAGCGATACCAATTCAAATCTACTTAATCATCAACGTGAGGTAGTTGTCCTTAGAACAAAAGCCTCAAGACTGGCAGTTAGCATCACGCTAGTGACTACCTATCTAAAGAAACATCAGAGGAAAAAGATACTGCCGATTAGATCATTTAGCAGACACGGAATTTGCACATCTAACTTTACCTTCCTTTTTTTCTTTTGTTTCGTCTCCATGTATTTCTAACAGGGGAGCCTTGATAACATCAGCATCATTCTCGTTTGTTTTCCTGGCGCCCCCCAGCTGTCACCTGAAGCACTGCACCAGGAGGCTGAGCTGGAGGACTTTCTAGAGTCCAAAGTAGCTGGTAAACCATCTGATTAAATTTAGCTTCTTTCGATGTTGCTCTTTAGATTTACATGACTTGCGTCAAAGATTGCAATCCTTTCAAATCATGGAGTCATATAATGGTTAAAGTAAATGGTCCTCTAAGTGGCCTGCTTAAGGAATTAAATCATTGTCACGCATGTTTCTTTGACAGAGATATTTGAGGAGCTGAGCGCAAGAGGTGATGAGCCTGATCTGTTGTCAGTTCTGACAGTACTGGCTTCCACAGTGATTCCTGGACTTCCACCGGGGGGTGGCCTTCAGAGCAAGTGAGTGCATGTTGAATATCATGCTTTACTTCTGCTCAAAATAGCAGTCAGCAATTATCCAAGAGAGGTGTGAAAACCTATTTCACAGAATGTGACATGAACATTTTTAGGCACAGCTGTTGCATGAAATAGATAAATCACAGTTCCAGTGCTTTAAAGCGGTTTATACCGATATTAAATTTGATTAGCAATTTTATTCATCTTTCTGCCATTTTTGTTATTATTGTTGTTGATGTTGTTGTTAAAAGGCATTTTTTATAATTGATATTGAATAATTATTTATATTTATGTAATAATTTAAGCATTTATAATATTAATAATACTTTTATTATTAATAGTAATAATAATAAAAGTAATAGATCAAGTAAATGGAAACAACAATATTTTTAAATAAAATTTCTGTGACTGGCTTTATGGACCAACAATGTATAAATTCATATAATCTTTTGAAATATTTAAATGCATCATTATTCATAGAATAATAGAGTAGTTTTTGCTTTTTTTTTATCAATATTGAGTTAATATATTCTTCCAAAATGCTTAATTGCAGTTAAAACAAAAAAAGTGTATTGCACTTCATCAAATGGTACTCATGTGCTATAGCAACAGATTAGAAAATCATCTAAATATTAGATTATAGTTGAAAGGATGACATATCCACTCTCGTGCTGCTGAGAAATGTCCAGGTACACTAGGTAAATGTAGACAGCAGCTTTTCTCAGATTCAAGTGTCCACAAGTTGCTCTAATGATATGTTGTTGTAATGACTGCCAAAAGAACAGAGGACTGAACTTTGAAATATCATATTTTCTTGACATTTGCAGGCGGAACTGTATAATTTCAGCCTACTATCAGCAGAAAGAGGCACGGCGATCTAGATTAGCCCAGGTAAGCTTCTGTACAGAACTATCCATTTTATAATATTATATATATATATATGTTAAAATTGCTAATGTTTTTGTCATTAGTGTACATTAACTTTAATATGAATTCCTGTCATTTGTATCTTTTCAGGAACTCAGTCCTACAGGTGCCAATTAGAGTCTGTCTTACATAAACACTTAATAGATGTGCTAGATTGAGAAAGAAGTAAATCAGTTTTCTGTGATTTAAACAAAAAAAAAAAGAAAGATCTTTCTGGACAACAAAAAAAAACATTTTACTTCCTTCTTTTTGTATGTTTCACGAATGACAAAACTTACAAAAAGCAATGCTGTGGCACGATGCAGGACAATAATGACTGTATAGTGATATGTTCAGTATTTTCCTTACCAAATGTATTCAATGAGTCTTACAATCGACAATACTCAGGTAATGTGTTCAAGCAGTGACAGCAAACTTTTGAGATTCTCTTCAGTCTTGGCATATAACAAGGTCATTCTTTAAATTGATACAATAAAAAAAGGCAGAACTTGACAGAACTCTTTGAGGAACAGTGACAAGCTAATGCTGTTGTATTAAAGGAATAGTTCACCCAAAAATGATTTAATTGTCTTTACTGCTTAGTTCTTTTGGAAGCATGGTCACAATGTTTAGAATTTTTTTTTTATTTTGTGTGTGTGTGTGTGTGTTTGATAAAAGGATAAAAACAACAGCATACAGGTTTGGAAAAAATGATGTTAAGTAACTAATGACAGGATTTTTATTTTTGTGTCAACTCTTCCTTTAAGAATTAAGGTCAAATTTGAAATGCTAAAATCTCTAAAGTGCAAATTCTATTAAATACAAGCACTTTTACATGTTGGTTTATACAGGCTCATAATATGGTCACAGAGTGCAACTTTTCCTGTTCTTGAATAGTTGTTTCCTGTAATACGCTCTACTCTGTTTGCATGATCTGTGCTGTGTTGCCTTACTGACCTCTTTGAAATTATGCCAATTTATAAGCGTGTAATAATACCGAGATATTTCCTAATGACTAGCAAATTAACTGATGCAGTGCTATATCATGTTGTGTAATCATCTTTGTGCACATTTGACAGATCTTGTGCAATATTTGTGCTAACATAAAGGTTAAAGGTTGAGTAATAAAAATAAACAGATCAAGCTATTCATGAGATTTCAGTTTATTAATGTCTGTCCTGCTACATAAAGAGACTTTATGGCCTATAGGTAATTATAGTCATACATTTTGTGAGTGTGTTTGAGCTCATATTTCAACACCATCGGTAAGCAGTACCACTGTCATCCTCATGAGAACAGTAGAGACTCGCTCCTCATGTAACACCATCTGCAATTTGCAAACCCTGTATTAATGTCACACTCAGAAACATATTTAAAAAACTCAATGAATGACGACGGGCTGCTGTTACACAGATATAAAGGATGTGAGTATAGCTATTACATTTGAAACACATAAATGTTGATACCAAAATAAATATTTAACAAAGAAGTTATATGTGTTTACAATATACAATATCTACAGAATCTATTACACATGACTTGGTTGGTCTCTTAAAGGACTGATGATACTATCACATTACAAGTCTATTTGCACATATTTGTATTCATTTTAGATCATTTGTTTCTTAGGACAATCACTGATGGCAGCTTGATAGAAACGATTAAACAATGAATATCACTGACCATCTCCCTTTGATTTGACACTTGTATGTCTTCCTCCGGGACTGTCTCTCTGTAAGTGCCATGGCTACATCTGCCTGACTCTTGAAAATCAGTCTGTTTTCATGAAGAGCCGTTAAAGGATCTCTCCAGAGGCACAGTGTGATTGCTCACCACACCGGCCAATCACTTCAGCATCAAAGTGACTCTGAGAAGTGATGTTACCATTAAAATCACATGGTCAGTTTATAATGATGTTCAAAATAAAAATAAAAAAAGAGCCGTCTCCTCTTTAGAACGCAGCCATTCATAAATGCTAACATTCACCGTCCTTGTGATTTACAGAGGTAAATTGGCTATTTTAATTTGATCTAATTTGGTTTGGAATGACAAAGAGAGGAATTTACTGTCAAGCCAACATTCAAAGTTTGTCTTAAAGGGATAGTTCAACCAAAAAAATACAAATTCTGTCATTATTTATTCACCTTCATGTCATTTCAAACCCATAAGACTTTCCTTCATCTTTGAAACACAAATGAAAATATTTTTATTGAAACCGTAGAGATTTCTGTCCCTTCATTAAAAGTCAGTGTCACCAAAAATATAAAAAATTAAATAAAATAAAACATTGTAAACACTATCCATGTGAATTGAGTGGTTTAATCTAAGTCTTCTGAAGTGATATAATCGATTTATTTGATGAGCAGTTTTAATTTAGGCTGCTATTCCCACATGATTATTATTAATTAAAAATATCTTTATTTGTGTTTTGAAAATGAAGTGATGGCTGACTGATAACAGAATTTTCATTTTGAAGTGAATCTTATTAACAAACTTAAACTTTGCTTATCTAGTTAAAAATTATTTGTATACATTCCTTTGAATTTCTATTCATTTTAAATATACTTCCCTACATTCAAATTAAAATTCTGACTCCTGATTGCTAATGCAATTCAAATTCAGGAATTTTGAGGCCATTCTCAATTCAGTTCAGAATAAAACACAACCCTCACTAAAGTCATCTTATGATAATGTGCAATATCCAATGCCATCTTTGTATAATCAAGCTACCTGTCGACACTTGTCTCCTGAAGGCGGTTATTCATGATAGCAAAGGCGCCCACACCACCGGAGAAGCCGTTCTGGCGAACGTGGCTCTGTCTTGGATTACCGTGAGCGGTCTCTGAGAGTTGCTTCTGTAGAATGGCCAGAGAAACCTTGTTGGCCATAAAGTCATTGACTGAGATCATTTCTCCAGACAGTCTGCGCCCTGTCAGATAACCTCCATCTGGTCCTAAGCCAGCATCAGTCTCACTATCACAAACTGTTTCCACTGATGCATTAGTGAAGCGCTTTCCTGTAGCTTCGTTAGCCGGGGCAGGGTGCACGGCGTTGCGCTTTTGAGCCCTCTGCCGGGAATGTCCCGGCGGAGGGTGGTGGTTGTGCCGCTGGTTGGGAATTCGTGGAAAGCAACAGCAACAACAGGCCTGACCTCGTCTTCTGTATGGACAGCCACGGCACGAACACTGAGCCTTGCTGCAGTCCAGTTTGCCGAGGATCCAGTTGAGCGTCTGCTTGATAATGATGGAAATTACATTGAACAGGGAATAAATGCAACACACACCCATGAGGATGAAGAGGCAGTTGCCGAGACGGTAGGCTTCTTGAGCTTTATAGCTCTCCCGTTGGCTGCTAACCACATCCCCGAAGCCAATGGTGCTGAAGGCCACAAAGCAGAAGTACAAGGACTCAAAGTAGTCCCAGTCCTCCATGGCAGAGTACAGCGCAGACGCACTGCATGCGATCAGCAGGGCGGCGATGCCCAGAATGAGCATTACATAGTAGACCGATGGTTTCCAGCCCTCCAGACTGTCGTCCTCGCTCCTGGCCTCCTCTCCTCCCATGCCGGAGCGGCGCAGTTGGCGCTCGTGACACCAGCGCATGATGTAGGCCAACATCGTGATGATGCGCTCCAGGAAAAGGTTGAAGAAGAGGATTGTTGCTGCGCAGCCAAGGAGTCCGTAGAATATCAAAAAGATCTTACCTGCAACGGTGACAGGAGTGGTCATGCCAAAGCCTGGAAGGAAATAGGAAACAGGTTCTGTTTTGCTGATGTATTTTGAATGAATTAATTCCTATTAAAAAACATCATGTCACTCCAAACTGCTATGGTTTTAGGTTAAGCTAACAAACTGCCAAAAAACATAATTTATCTCTAATTTATGCTTTTGGACATTCAATATGAGTACTATAAGTACTTGTCACAAGAACAGCAATAGAAAATAACATTTGGCAACAAATTTGGCCGGAAGCATCTTCAGGTGGGGCAAGTTGGAAATAAATATCGGAAATAAAAGTTATGGCAGAGGGGAATTTTACTGACTGACAAAGTAAAGCTAATTTACTTTTGCATTGCTTCTTTACTTTTGTTTAAGGTAAAGGAGCAGCTTGGATGTTTTGCAAGAAAACTTTTTTTTTTGCCATAGAAGTGTGTGTGTATGTGTCTTTTTGTTATACTTTGGCCAGTGTTTAGTATCATTGATATACTGTTATAGTTTTTTTTATGTGTTTTTTGTCATATATACAGGTTTATCTCAATAAATTAGAATGTCGTGGAAAAGTTCATTTATTTCAGTAATTCAACTCAAATTGTGAAACTCGTGTATTAAATAAATTCAATGCACACAGACTGAAGTAGTTTAAGTCTTTGGTTCTTTTAATTGTGATTATTTTGGTTCACATTTAACAAAAACTCACCAATTCACTCTCTCAACAAATTAGAAAGTATGTTAATTTACTGTACATGTACTCAATACTTGGCAGGGGCTCCTTTTGCTTTAATTACTGCCTCAATTCGGCGTGGCATGGAGGTGATCAGTTTGTGGCACTGCGGAGGTGGTATGGAAGCCCAGGTTTCTTTGACAGTGGCCTTCAGCTCATCTGCATTTTTTGGCTCTTGTTTTTTCATTTTCCTCTTGACAATACCCCATAGAATCTCTATGGGGTTCAGGTCTGGTGAGTTTGCAGTCAAGCACACCAACACCATGGTCATTTAACCAAATTTTGGTGCTTTTGGTAGTGTGGGCAGGTGCCAAATCCTGCTGGAAAATGAAATCAGCATCTACAAAAAGCTGGTCAGCAGAAGGAAGCATGAAGTGCTCCAAAATGTCTTGGTAAACGGGTGCAGTGACGTTGGTTTTCAAAAAACAAAATGGACCAACACCAGCAGATGACATTGCACCACAAATCATCACAGACTGTGGAAACTTAACACTGGACTTCAAGCAACTATGCAGCTATAACAGCTACGAGCTTCTCCACCCTTCCTCCAGACTCTAGGACCTTGGTTTCCAAATGAAATACAAAACTTGCTCTCATCTGAAAAGAGAACTTTGGACCACTGGGCAACAGTCCAGTTCTTCTTCTCCTTAGCCCAGGTAAGACACCTCTGACGTTGTCTGTGGTTCAGGAGTGGCTTAACAAGAGGAATACGACAACTGTAGCCAAATTCCTTGACACGTCTGTGTGTGGTGGCTCTTGATGCCTTGACCCCAGCCTCAGTCCATTCCTTGTGAAGTTCACTCAAATTCTTGAATCGATTTTGCTTGACAATCCTCATAAGGCTGCGGTTCTCTCGGTTGGTTGTGCATCTTTTTCTTCCACACTTTTTCCTTCCCCGAAACTTTCTGTTAACATGCTTGGATACAGCACTCTATGAACAGCCAGCTTCTTTGGCAATGAATGTTTGTGGCATACCCTCATTATGAAGGGTGTCAATGATGGTCTTCTGGACAACTGTCAGATCAGCAGTCTTCCCCATGATTGTGTAGCCTAGTGAACCAAACTGAGAGACCATTTTGAAGGCTCAGGAAACCTTTGCAGGTGTTTTGAGTTAATTAGCTGATTGGCATGTCACCATATTCTAATTTGTTAAGATAGTGAATTGGTGGGTTTTTGTTAAATGTGAGCCAATATCATCACAATTAAAAGAACCAAAGACTTAAACTACTTCAGTCTGCGTGCATTGAATTTATTTAATACACAAGTTTCACAATTTGAGTTGAATTACTGAAATAAATGAACTTTTCCACGACATTCTAATTTATTGAGATGCACCTGTATATATATATATAATTTTTCCTTTATATTATAGTTCCATCAACTTTGCTAATTTATTTAATACATTTTTCGGTATCTTTTTAATAAAATAAAACATATATTAAAAATAAAAAATATTTTAAAAAAATGCTAATTCTGTCATGATTTATTGTACTTGCCCTCACGTGGCTCTGAAACTGTTGTTTTTATTAAGTTTTAGTTTGTTTCGTTTTTAGTTATTTTAGTACTTCAACTTTAAAGGAAAATGAGAAATATTGTCTTGGCAAATAGTTGAATAAAAAGTTTTCATATTTTTATATTTTATTTTATTTATTATTTTAAATATTTTTTTTATAGTTTTTTTATTGTTAGTGATCAATAACAACCCTGCATGAAGCTCAAACGGTAGAACACTGTACTAACAATGCCATGGTCATGGGTTCGATTCCCAGGGAATTATAAACTAATAGAAGAAATATACCTAATTTGACTTTGTCACTTTAGATAAAAGTGTCTATGTAAACTATGATTTCTGTAAATTCTCTTTTTGGCAAATTTATTTGCAGTTATGAACATCTAAATGCATAGATGACGTTGTATGAACTCACCAATTGTGGAGACCACTGTAGCGACAAAGTAGAAGGCCCCTGAGAAATCCCAGCGGGGCCTAAGTTTGTCCACACGGATCCCAGCCGCAAAGGCCTCCTCATATTGCTTTAGCAGGACATGTAGGGATTTTAGGTTTATACTGTTTTGCTCGGTGAAGTTGGCCAGCTGTTGGTCCCAGCGGCGGTGAGCCTGCAGCTCAGAGGGATGCTCGAGTGCAGAGAACACCACCGCCCCACACAGCAGGTAGAGGAGGATGAGGGCCGCCAACAAGCCAAAACGGGCATTGTCTTCATTCAGGTGAAGTGGGAGGCAACAGCTGTTGCTGACATCTCTTCTATGTGGCATGACTTGATCACTAGCAGGAAATGACAAGAACAGGCAAACATGCACAGCCACTAACACAGACACAAGAAACGAACACTCTCACTCACAATCAAAACACAACCATAGACTCGGGCTTTAGAATACATATAGAGTCACATGAAAACTCTATGTTGCTCTTGTTTTCAGATACAGTTGAAAAATGAAGGACAAGAGTGTACTGGACAAAGTTCTTCATGTCCATTAACATTCTTCTGGACTCATAACCGCATCACTTTCTCCAATGGCACCATTGTAAAAAGCAAGGTTATCAGGTAAAATGACACATGGTCCAGGAAATAAGACCTCCAGATACACCTTTTGGGTTAGCAGGTAACAGTAGGCAGGCAAGTGCAAGATTGTTATCTTTTCCCATCTCGCTGTCCAAGTATAGCTGGTGCCGCACCAGTCAGTAATAATGCTGTGGTCTTTATGTGAAATCATCCTTGAGCTGGCTCAAAACAAAACAAACAACATATATTGCTACTTTAGTCAAAAGGATTATAAATAAATTGATTTAAGCTGCAAGTGCAGTACATTAGTATCATAAAAGATCACTAGATCTTGATTTTTTTTTTTTTTAAGTTAGCAAGCACACAGTACTACAAAATAGAACATTGTTTTATCATACACATATTCTACCTTTTTAATTCTGTTTTTAACAGCAGTATTAAGACAAATTATTAAATTAATTCGATCATGATTAGGCTACTATCAACACATGGTTGGCTATTATTAGAAAATGTCAGTCACTTTTCCCTAATTTAGGTTTTGTTAATCACAAACAAACTTTTAGAGTGGTGAAATTGAAGGTTACCTACCTGATTTAATATTTAATATTTGATGAAGAGCACCGTTGACGTCATCATAGTCCTCCAAACCATTTTGCTATGTTAATGGTGCGAGTTAAAAGAATCAAAAGTGGTGGAAACATTTAGTTAAACTTAACAGGCGCCGTTTATTCCTGGCAAGTGTGAATCCTTGGCAGTGCGTGATTGAATGATGCAGCTGAGGAGGAGAGAGAGAGAGAGAGAGAGAGAGAGAGAGAGAGAGAG